GGGGGGGGGGGGGGGGGGGGGGGGGTCCATAAGATTGATTTAATCAATTATTTGAGGTTTCTGAGGTGCGTCCACCCCGTCACTTAACTTGCTAAAGCAAGAGCAACTCCAGCTAGCTAAGGCTAGCTTTCGTGAAAAATATGAGTCAGTGGGTGTAATCATCCAAAGTAAAGGCCGAAAACTACAATATCCGAACACCACCACTTATGGTATAATGTTAATGTTTGTCTATATATACTTACGGACTGAAACTTAGAATGCCTTTTCAAATCCCAAAATTTCATCGCGCACACTTAGAATGCGCCTCCAAAAATGTACACTTAGAATGCTACGCCCCTGTCCCCATATAATATGAAAAGGATATCCAAGTTTCAGTCCAGCAAGAAATCAGTCTCAAGATATCAATTACCTTTGTAAAAGTGAAGATTACCAAGGATGTTAATATAGATTTGTTCATAGCTATATACACATGTCATCATATATCCACATACATTTTCTGGAGTTGGATCCACATCCACATGACATACTCCCAACCGACCGACCGACCGACAGCAACCACCCAGCCAGCCAGCCCACGGAATGGGCTAAGTTGCCTCGCGCTTCACATCAGTTCTTTTTGACCACGCCGGTGCACATGTTGTATGTATCTGTATATGCACGGTCGGTTTCCCCGGCCCCATTGGATATCCTGGCTCAGCCATAAAAACCGAGCAACCCCTGATTTCGGGCGATGCAACACACCGTGGGTTTGGACACAAAGAATGACTCAGTTTGTGATTCAGAAGGTTCTGTGAATGACACCATGGTTTGTGGGGGGTGCAAGCATTCTATGTGTTCAGAACCTGCAAACTAAGAGGTAAAATAAAGCACCTTGATGAAATCCGAAGTAAATCCAGTAGGCATTCTAAGTGTGCATCTGTAACCGGAACTTGGAATGCTCACTTTTGCTACTCCACCTGTGTGTTTTGGCCGTCGCTGCGATTCCCAAAACGGCATTCTAAGTTTCAGTCCGTCACTATATATATATATATGTATATTGACGCCGGGTCACGCAACCACCCCTGGCCATGTCTCGCGAGTCACACCGGAGTCATACATTGGTGGAACCCGCAGACTTCCGCCCAGCAGTTGGCCCACTGCTTCGCAGCCAAGCTTCGTCCACTGCTCCCGCTGTGGGGCTTCTCCACTCGATGGGCCCAGCTCTGAAGACTCTCTGCACTGCTGACGCCGCTGCAGGTACTTACGTCACTGGGGATGTAGTCCCGTGCGGGTGGAGGCTTCCTGAAGGGCTGGAGGCTGGAGGCTCCACGGCTGGTTTTCTATCCACCTCATAAGATCCCATATCCCTTAATGTAACTTAATTCGCACACGAAAAAGGGGGGGACCCTGATTAATTTCCTAAGGTTGGGGGATTATATATACACTGTTATAATGGTGACTGAGGGCTTGGAGCCTCACTAGCCAAACTCCCAACTTCCCTTTTCGGGCGGAAGGCCTGCGTACTCATCGACGAGATACGTGGTTTTTGTAGCCGAGACATGGGGAGACCCCCTGGATTCGGTTTGGATCTACCTGGCCAGGGACACAAGGGGGGGGATCTCCTTGTTTTTGGCGACACACCCATCGCTCTTAGGTTGGAGGCCATCGCTCTTAGGGTTTCACTCTCTACCAATGGGACTCTGCCATCGCTTCTAGCCCACATCATCTCTCCAGCCCAAGCCACAAGAGGTTCCGCTCCGGTCGTGCTGAAGCCACTGCGACACTGACACCTGAAGCCTTGCTTGAGCGACGGCTGCTGGGCGCAACGGCTGCTGGGCCTCAGGGGGTAAGGACAAAGCAGGTAAGGAGAGAAGGTGAGGAGACAAGCAATGAAACATGTGGGTTTCTGTGGAGTATAGTGATCAATACTATCTGCTGTATATATATCTGAGAATCTCTATGATTCTTTGTGTTCACAGAGTTTGTGGATGTTTGTGGTCTTCCAGTGAAGCATTGTGTCTGAGTGCCGCCAACGCATGGGCTGCTGGCTTGCTGTCTCCGGACACGCTCTCGACCAGTTTCGACTGGCTCGACTGTACCAGCGATCATTAAGGTATTCAATGTTTCGAGGCTCCACATGCCCAGCAGTCGCAGGAAGTTAGACACATCAACATACTCGTTGGACTCTGAGCCGAAAACGATAGATATTGAACGACCCATTTGATCGTCAAGCCACCGGTCGTTGCAATTGCTCCCTCACTGGTCTTGCTGGACCTCCGCGATGACAGGTCAAGGTTGATCACGGGCTGCGGACACAAATCCTGGAGAGGGCAAGCACGGTCATTGCTCGGTGTCGTACGCTTGGCAAGTGGGGAGTTCACCTTGCTGAACGCTCCGAAAATGGCTCCGGAGTGTCCACCCACGGAGTGTTCACCTTCGATGTTCGACCAAAACATGGGCTGCCGAGGATCCTTGGGCAAATGCAACTGCAGCACCGGTGATTGAGCAAAGACTTTGGGTGATTCACCTGGGGCTGGAATGATCGAAGGTCGCGGTTGCTCTCCATTCCGGGGCAGCGGGGTGAGGTGTTTGCAGTTCAGTGGATGTTCACTGCTCCCCATGAGAAATGCGCTCCTGAATTGCATACTGGCATGGATTTATAGCTCTTATCACGCTGCTTCATCGCAATGTAGCCAAAACCTGTGACGCTCGAAACCATGGCTGAAATCTAAACAAAGGCTGGATGAGTTGTGTGTCTTGCGTAAGAATACGAGTTAAGCAATGGGTGTGTAGGAAGACAAATACTGAGACCTCCCAGGCGTTCTGACCCACTGGAGGGTTCGGACAATAGACCAGTCTATCCATTGGTACAGGGGTTTTCCTTCTTAAAATACACAGCTTAAAGGGCGCTCGGAGGCGCGCCTCCGAAGTGCATGGCGCGCCTCCGAAGTGCCGGACGAGCCGGGAAACATCTCGTGAAATTCGCTGAGATCGGTTCCGTATTGGAAGTCACCTAGTAACAAGTGCCACGCTAGTAGTAACAGGTGCCTTACTAGTAGTAACAAAAGCTATTATAGAATTATATCAAATTGTTACTACTAGCCAGGCACTTGTTACTAGTAGCGATGCACTTGTTCCTAGTAGCTTATTGTTTTTCCGTTTACCAAACATGACCACTTGGAATCCAAGTCTGAACGACTGTGCCTCTGCCAACCACTAAGGTGCACCCCCAACTGGTTCCGAGAACAGGTACGTACTGTACACCCGCAAGAAATAGTCCGTGTTTCAAGCTCTCTGCCACTTTGCACATCTAACATCATCTAACGCATTCCCTTGGGCCATCTGTTCCATGAACACAAACATCTCACTGACAAATATCTTTGCTCCCATGGCACGCTTCTTCTTTGTGCAGCTTCCTAACAATGTCCGCCAGTTAAAGCAAACCTGATTCGGTCGGAGAGATGTGGACACCTCCTTGGTGGGATGGGCGGGGATGGTATCTCATGGTTCATGTTCAATCAAATAAACCATGGTCCAGGTAATTACCTGAGAAGAGAACAACCCTTCAGATTGCAAGAGATCATAGTTCGCACCCAAACAACTTTGATTCCAACATATCATTGTGAAATATTGTGAACATATCAACCCGCAACGATCTGGTAACACGGTGGTGTCGCCCTGATCAGTCAGTCAAACAAGAATGGTTGGATCTGAGCATGTCGAACTGCTGTGCGATGCTGCGATGCTTATTGTAAACTCTATTTATAGATATGTGTGCGGTCTATCCTATTACCTGTAACAAAGAATAGTGATTTGCTTATTTACACTCTTACAGGTAAGAACGGACAGACCCGTCCGATATATTGCTGATGATATAGGATCCCATCCGAACAAAAATAACATGTAAAGCACGCCGTCATCAAAGCCTCTCTGAACACATTGTGTCACTCTCAAACAGATTGAGTTTGTGTCGAAGTCAGCAAGCTTACCAGCTTGTTCATATGCGATGCGTTTGATGGCTTTTGTATGTTTGGAAGGGTGGCTTCTATCCAACAACTGTTTTTTTTAGACGAATGCTTGGCATCCGGTTCCTTTATATGATACATATCACCACCCGGTAGAAAGAAGCCTCTCATTTTGATTTGCAAAACAGGTGCGATCACGGTCAAAAACTGGTCAAAACAGGTCAAAACCAATGTCAAAAAGATCAAAAAGATCCACATACGTCCTGAGAAGGTACGACTGGGCCCTCCTGGCGCCTACATCAATAGTCTCCAATGTGTTCCAATCACCTTCTCAGAAGGTAGGTGTGGATCAATACCTACAGATTTTAAGTGACCTGAACTAGGACCCATAACCTGGGGTACCTATAGGATAGTCTATAGGGTTCTTCAACCTCTGCTGGTAGGGACTGTCAACACCCAAGATGTCCACTTTGCCACGTCCACCGATGGATCCGATGAAAGGGTCACGTCCTTCGTCGACCGCTCAGCTCGACCGAGGTTACGCGTCGGGTCGCTGCGTCGTTCGATGTCGACACGCGTCTTCGGATGGAATGGACGTTGGAGAGAAGAATTACTAAATAGAAACAAGTGCCACGCTACTAGGAACAAGTGCCTTACTAGTAGTAACAAGAAGCTATTAGAAACAAGTGCCACGCTAGTAGTAACAGGTGCCGAAGCAGTGAAAAAAACACGACTGTTTCATCAGGACAGGAGACTCCATTCTTTCCTGGGAGCTCCAGGTATCTACATTGGGGTGGTTGACCTGGGGTCAATGTAAATATGCCAGTCCCATATGGAGCGTCTGGGTCCAAAATCCGCTCATCAAGGTGACTGGGGGGTGGTCGTTCCTCGTCTTCTGCAAGTTTGTGCATGCAGGTCGGCTAGTGGCTCGTGGCCAGACACGACACGGCTGACTGAAGCGTAACATGTATATAGATTGGGTCTATCCTATTAGCTGTAACAGTGGTTGATGATGGTTAGTAGAGGTCATAGGACAGACCCAATGTATATGGATGCTTTGGGGGAAGGGACGTCCAAAAGCCGACACGCGCCCGCGTGTAGTGGACTGGCGAGAAGCCAAGCCCAGCACTGCCACAGCCACGATACAACCAGCACCCAAAAGCGACAAGAGCATCAGGTCCAAACCGGTATCCTGTCAAGGATGAGATGATCCTACTGAAGGAACATATCCAAACTGAGATGGGTAACACTTCACCTGTGACCGTTGAGACGTTGTGTTTTTCTTTTGAAGGAGTGTTGACCTGCAGACTCACGTGTGGACCTGCAAGAAATTTTGCCAGACTGCCATGTGTGTACTGTGCAGGTGGTGTTGGACTTAAGTCACCACATGCAGGGACTAAGTTGGCTTCCATTTCCGCATCTTTTTTGCATTTCCTCTGGCTGCTCCAGCCAAGTGAGGCCATTTCCTGGCGAGTTGTGAGTTGACCTCAACTGCTCAAACATCTATCCTTGAAGGCCAGTTACACTATATTTCAACGCGCCTTGCAAACTGTGTCCTTTTCTGCGTGCGTAAGAGAAACGCCGTTGGAAGCGTCCGCATTTCCGGCTCCAAAACATCCTCTTCTCCCCAAACCCTTGGGACCCTTCGCTGTAGCAGTGCGGCTCCGAGTTCGGGACAGGCCCCACTTCGCCGCATGGGGGTAGCCCACCACCGAATGAATGAATGGAGCACTCGTCAGGTCAGCGGGTCGTGAGACCGAGAAACATCGTCGACTCCCAGGGTCTAAACTTACACACGCAAAGGCTCATTGGACACTCAGTTCGCTAGGGTTTTGACCCTCACAGCCAAAACCCTTTTGGACCGAACCAACATGTAGCAGTTGGTTTGGGTCCAGGGTCGCCTCTGGGCAGTGAACATCAGTAATGTAGACTCTTGATTCATAAACCCCTCGTATGAAGTGGATGTCCAATTCAAATTGGGGAGGTTATTAATCAAGAGTCTACATTAAACATCAGTAAACAGTTTCCCCCTTTCATTGGCATCAGTAAACATCCGTCGGTTCTTGGCAAAAGGTGTCTGGACACATCAACTGGAACCGACGAAAAGTGGCTTCTTCTCAAATTTGGCTTTCCCGTTTCTGTGGTTCTGAGCAGTGGCTGGCCAAATCTCCCAGACATGGTTGACCGACATAGTTCATCTGACTTTGACGGTCAATCATTAATGCGTCGTGACTTGAAAACCAAAATCCCCTAAGACAACGGGCCGGGTAGTTGTCGCGAATGAGCCTAATCAGCTTTTCGGGCTTTGCCAAGTTGCCCCTTGGACAGTCCGGGAGAGCTTTCAAAAGTATACCAACGGCCACCAACCTAATAGCGATGGCCTCCAACCTAGAAGCCATGGCCTCCAACCTAATAGCAATGGCCTCCAACCAGGAAGAGATGGCCTGCAACCTAATAGCAATGGCCTCCAGCGTACATGAGAGCTTTCACAGTATTGCGATTGCTTGCGCGAACACAAACTATTGGGGTTCGGTTTGGTCGACAAGTGGCCATCAACTCACGCACATTGACATACTGTGGTCATGCGATATGACCAGAATCTGACTGGTGACTGACACATCCTGCTAAACTTGTGGTGACTTGCCGCGGCGACCGACGAAGTCCAATGCAGACTTTCCGACCTTTGTTGGGTTTCTCGGCGGGTCGTTTGATTTCGAAGAGATCTGAAACAAACCAAAGTTTGAGGCGACAGGCTGCCACACAACTGCACATTCACATATAGCTTCTGAGGTCCTGGGAAACAAAAATCAACCCTACGTAGTTTTTCTATTATGGTGTCGTTGATTTCTGGATTCTGAATTTCTCATGCTCCGGTCACGCGCTCGCGAGGGCGCCTCGCTCTCCACGTCGGGCGCTCCAGAGGTGGTGGCCCAGCGACTGGGGAGAATTGGGCCTTCGACCACGCTGGGCGATCCGTGCCTTAGAGAACCACAGTGGGAGACCAAAGAGAGGAGACCAAACAAACACTATGTGACATTTTTGACCTCCCCCTGCCAAACCACGGCTACAAGGGCTGTGGTAGGGATGTTTCACAGTGAACAAGACATGACAAGAGCTTCACTTGCAAACGTATATATGTATATATATATATAATTACATTGGGATCACTTTTTTGGCTCTCATACCTGTTCACCCTCAGCTAAGGACATCAACAATCAAGAGCAACAACTCTCGCAAGCACTGGCTGTGGCCATGTTTAAACAACTCCGGGATTGAGCTGCAGCCTTGGGCAATCCTTTCCCGCCCAGCAAGCTACGCAACAAAATGAGTTTCGGGTGCGTTATCTGTCACTCAAAGCAGCTACTCACGGATCAAAAAACAACCAGTTGCTAATTACGTAGTTTAGCTTTCTGGAAGGACCGCAAAGCTAGCGAACTGGAATTTTTTTCTGTGAAAAAACATATTCATATTCTATTCTCACCTATCAGGAACTGCACATGTCCGCTTGTCTGGGGCCAAATCTGCATGAAATGCTCCCCCGAACCTTTTTTGCACGTCTTCTATTTACAAACATCCTTGGCTGATGTCAACCGCAAATGTTCCAGCAAACACTACAGTACTACCCAGTATCACCACTAGGAATGCCACAGTGACCACCGCCGCCGGAACTTGTCAAATCGTAAATCAGGGCATTTGTTCAAAATGCCTTCCAACATTCGGAATTATTGCCTAAAATTATGTTGACAGAATGTCTAACCAATTTGCTCTGAATTCCTTTCAGTGTTGGGGAATTCCGAGGTGCCCGAACTTGTTCTCCAATCAAACACAACCGTGTTCAACAGAACTCAGAAGTCTCTGTTTTTGCAAAAAATACGCGCACCAAAATATACACACAACACCTCCAGAACATATAATATGTTCAATGTCCTGATGTCTGCTCAAGCACCTGCACAATCTTCTGGAGTAGCCACAGTCGCGAGGCTGTAATTATCGAGGAGTGAACACGTGGTCGCCATTTGCGGCAATAGGGGCCTGCAATTTAGTTATCACAATCCAACTGGAAATCCTCAGTTTAAACTCGGAACAAACATGACTTTGGCGGCAAAAGTGTGCCACATACATAGTATGGTGTGTAATTATTTCGATAGAGGGACGACCCCGCCCATTTAGTTTGGGTCTGCTTTCCAAGTTGAACTGGGAGGTCTCTATGTTCAATGCAAACCACATACAGTAGTGGTACTCAAACTAGACTCTTGATTGTATTTCTACCCCCCCTACGAACAGGTTTTACAATCCATATCTGAGCGGAGGGTTCATTAATCAAGAGTCTAATATCCAATCCAATTTAGTAAAATGGGAGAAAACAATAAATACAAAAACCGTTGGATTATTTATTCCCACACCCTGAATCGGGAATAATGAGACAATGTTCGTTCAGATTGTTTTTGTTGGTAAGATCTGTCTATGTGTCTATTGTTATGCTATTGCTGCCCTTTAAACCCTTGCTGAACTACTACGACTACCTACCACTAGTACTACTGCTACTACAACTACCCCTGCTACAACAACTACTACTGACTTTTGTCTCATGGAACTCTGACCTTGAAATCCTTTTTCAACAACCCTTATTAAAACTCATCGATTTCGTTGCCCCAAACAATTCTATCAAGGGAATAATACACAAGACCCGGGGAAGTGGGGAAGTAAATAAAAGGAATTGTTTTGGGGGGTAGATTCAAAAAAATGGAACCCTAAGAAAAAATTGTACTGTTCTATTGTTTTGCTCTTGATGCCCCTTAAAAGCCTTGCATACCTACCTATTACAAACTACTACCACTACCACTACTGCTCCGAAGATTGCCCACTACTACTACTGCTGCTACTACTACTACTGCTACTGCTACTGCTACTGCTGCTACTACTACTACTAGTACTACTACTGCTCCCACAATTACTACCACTACCACGACGACTACACTACTACGACGACTCCTACTCCTGCTAATACTGCCACTGCAACTGCTACTTCTACTACTCCCAAACACTCCATGCGACTGCCATATATGCCTACATTGACCCCCAAAACCACCGCAATGTAGGCAGGCATATATATATATATGGTATACATGGAGTGTCTTAGACTTATACTACTTACTTATATTACTATATAAACAAAACATATACTCATGCTTTTGGTGGCTTTGATCCAATTCAGACACCCTCGTTTGTTTGTTAGGAGGGGGGGCCATCTACCAATAAAGATCGAAAATTCACTCAGAGTCCTGATTACATTGATTACCAAACATGATTCAACCACATGTCCGCTCCACACATGTCCGAGAATCCACTCCCCGCCGTTCAGCTCACCAATGGGAATGGGTTGCACCGGTCCGCGGTCTTGTACCGTTGTTGTTCGTGGCAAGGGCGTCACCAGAATCCGTCCTGGGGAAGGTGTTATGGCTCAATTCTTGATCCCTTTCTTTTTTGAAACAAAAAACTGAGTTGGGGTCAAGCATTTCTTATCACTGTTTGCGTCCGACTTGGCCACTTGGAGCTGCTTCGATCGAGTTTGTAGGGATCTAATGCAGGGGTGTTGCACCTGCAGGTCAGTTTTGCGAGCCGACCTCTGCCTGCACGGGGATTTTCAACGAGATCTGCCTATGTCCAAGTGAAAACCCTTTTCAACTATGGTGCGCAGCAACTGATCATCAACAGGGTGCCGATCTTGGACCTGAGAAAGGCCATCAACGGGTGAAACAAAGCCACCCAAAAGACACCGTCAGGCTGGTGCTGGAAAATGTTTCAGCGTACTCACTGTAAGCTGGCATATGTCACTTGACGTGGAAACAGGGGTGGGTGGAGTGGGAAGGGCGATGAGCGCACTAGTCTTCTATGGGTTAAAAGGCCTGACAAGACGATGGGCACGACCCACAAAAAAAAATGCGGTTGAGGCAAGTTTACATGTGTTCAAAGCACAGCTCCCGCCACGAAATCTGCACATTGCTTGAATCACATTGCACAGCCCAGCCAGTGCGCTTCGCAGCAATTGAAGAAATGTGAGTTCGAGATGTTCAGCTGGCTTTCATGCGATACAGGACTACTTCCCCCATATAAGCCTAGAAACCAAACCTGCCACGACTCACTGACCTGCCACGACATCAAACCACTCCACAGACTCGCAAGCACGCACTGCGACTACCATGAAAGGTTTCAGCACATCGAAGTAAAGCGGCTCCGATCTCCTGCAAGTCTCGACTTCAGACCACCAAAACACGAGGGTGTCCTGGTGCCCACGAAAGTGTCCACCAAGTCCGAACATGTGCTCGGACCACAACGAGAGCGCAGTCGAGGAAAGCTCGGGCCAGTGTGCACGAGCCTGTCGACATACGAGAGGTATGGTGCCGTAAATAGCATCGGCTGCCAACCAATGCGAGCCCCCTCGACTGAACCCAGCCTTAACCACTACAGTTAAACCTCTAGTGTGACCACACTGTTTGGGGAAACAACGGCAAAACTTTGAGGAAAACCTGTAGAATTGACACCGGCTTCTTCGAGACAGCCGTAGTTTCAGATCTGTTCTCTGCAAAAAAAGGTATCACGGTATCAAGGGTCAATCTCTACTACAGGTGACTACACCGATGTCTTCACAAGCAAAAAGTGGCACAGAAAAGAATTGGGGTCGACCGACAGGGCACTTAGGACTGTCGTGGCGGTGCATGGTTGGATTTGGAGCGGCTCATGCGCTGACCCCATAACCACTGAATGAAGGGAAATGGCTTGTTGAACTATAATTACCATACCTATACCATCTTGTACATATATTCAAGGAAGTTTTCTGGTATCTCCAAACTAGGTGAGTAAAGTCAG